GTTGATCCATGCGGGTACCCATAGTGTCCATATCCCGATGAAGTGCATTTTGATTCTCTTCAAAAAGACCCATTAGCGTTTGCTGGTTTCCTCTGGTATGGTAAGGATGTGGATGAGTCGTCTTTGTTGTTTACTGAATTGAGAAAGGGGACCCCAATGAGTTCTTGTTGTGAAAAAAATGAATGCATGATAATATGGATGAATGCTTTATCTTCATTTCTAATGAGACCCAAAGACTCGTCTATCCTTTTTTTTTAAATTTCCCTTTTGAAAAGTTATATCAACAAGACTTGTCTTTGGATTTCTCTAGATATGAGATATATATACATGATGATGTGATGTTATGGTATGCTATGGCATGAAGTCTCAGCTCCACATATTCTGGATAACCATTGCGTAGTCCGTTGCACCGGCTGAAGGTAACAGGATCAAAAGTTCGACGTCACAGGCATGGAGTCAGAGTAACCACCCACGAGGTATGTACTAGGGGTTTATCACCTACCGAACAAGGTTCTAAAGAGTTCTCGAAGTCTACGCTCTTCCTTTGGATATTACCGACGTCCTAATTACTTGGTAATCAGTAATATTCGCAGGAAAAACTCGTCCGAGCGCAATATCGCGTGACGACTACTTCCAGATTACTCCGTTACAGTCTCCGCATTGCACCTAAAAGGCCAAGATGGGTTAATGGTTCTACGGCCCTCAGCTTCTCGAGCTCCCAGGTCAAAAGCAACGACATCTTCCCGATTACTCGGTAAACATCATTACTTTCAAGGGGATCTCCACTGAGTGGGGGATTCTCATGCCTCCTTCTTCGGGATTACTCCCTCAAAGTTAACATGACTATACCGCCCGTCCTAATCCTATGTGTAACCCAAGTCCGGGTATAGGACTTATCAAAAGTAACCACCAAACCCAACATCACAATGTATCCAGAATATGTGAGTAGTAACAATATATGCAATATATACAAAAGAATAAATAAAGAAATAAAACAGTCAAGCAAGATAAAGCAAATAAATAAACACCCAAAACACAAGTAAACAAAACTAGGAGAGACTCGCTAAAAGGTCCCCAGTAGAGTCGCCAGCTGAAACCACCGGCAGAAAACACAGAGCCGCCACCGAACTTTATTTATCCCGAAGGAAGGGGAAATATCGATAAAACCACAAGGGAATGGATAAGATGGTCTTGCGACCAAGAGAAAGGGTAAGGGAGTCGGTTATGCGAGGGGAAGGTATTAGCACCCCTCACATCCTTTGTACTCAACGGGATCCATTTTGTTTGTTTGTCTTAAAGGGTGTATTTATCTACTACTATGCTTGCTAAAGGGAAATGGATGGTTTTTGATTATTGCGTTCGTGAGGGTTTCACGACCCTTTGCCTACGTATCCAATGAAGGAATCAGAACACCGTAGTTCCTCTTAGAAAATGGTTGGTTTGTTTGTGTTTTGTAGTGGGCGACGTTAACGCACGCATTCTAGCAATAAGCACGGCCGGTATCGCGGTAGAACAGAGATAACATGCCCGTGGGGGGAGTTTTGATTTGTTGAGTGTTTTTGCGTGTTTTAAAGTATATTCAAGTAATGATTAAAGAGTGTTTTTTTTGGATTTTTTGGGTTTGTTTACTTGTTGATTTTATCTTGCATATACGCCTAATTACTAGCATTTGTACAAAGTAAAATAAAAATGCAGAAAGATAAAAACCTACGCTATTACAAACATATCAAAAGGCATAAAAAATATTAAGTAAAAAATAAGATAAAAGTAAGAAAATGAGTGTCTTTCGACCCAGGCAGGAGCACACTTCGACTGGCATTTTGTTGGCCTCCTTCGATTGGGGCCAGCAACAGCAAAGTCGTGTCTTTCGATTGGGCCTTGGCAGGGGCGAGGTCCTGTCCTTCGATTGGGCAAAGGCAGCAGCAAGTTGTATCCTTCGCCTGGGGCCTGGAAGTTAGTGTATGGTGAAGTCTTTTGATTCTGCCTGGTTGCCTTCTTCGACTGGGGGTTGAAAGCAGTGATGGAATGCCTTTCGATTGGGCCTGTAATCAGTGAAGGCATGCTTCATTTGGGCCTAGAGATAGAAGGTAGAAGCTTGGATTGAAGGAGTATGGTGAAGTTATGGTGTGGATCAATTGGTGAGTTTGTGATTGAGAATGTTGAAAATGGATCACATTCGGTTTTGTGGTTATCTCACTGTTTACAAGAAGGAAATAGAAAGGTGTTTTGATGTGTTGTGGATTGGTGAAGTGAGGTTTAAGGTTATGGTTAAAGAGGTTAATGGAAGGTCATGATTTGTTGTTGTTATGCAGTTGAAAGGATTGTTGGGTAGAGGTTTAGGAATGAATTTTTGTGTGGATTTTTTTTGCGTGTTTTTAAATGAGTTTTTTTCTCTGTGAATTTTATGTGGATTTCTAACACTTTATGTTTTAGTTGGTTCAACCATTATTGCAGCCCTGATTTCATGATTATTTCATTGCAAGCTTAAAAAAAACAGATACTACATAAGTGGTAAAGAGCTTACCTGCAACTGCCTTGAAGATTCCAAATGGAAAACCAGAGATGAGATTCCAATCAGGTACGATGGTAGACCCGTGCTTGATGTTGATCTTCCTTCTTTGTATTTTATTATGCTCTTCTTCTGCTTTTGTGTTTTTTGTGTGTATACGTTGATGTTGTTGTTGCTTCTTTATTGCGTTTTGAATATTGCATAAACAGAGAGATGTAAAAGTGTTGTTGTGTATGGTGATGATTCTCTTACAGTTGAAATATAGAGGATGAGATGATGTGTTTGTGGCTTTGGAGGAAGTTCAACGAAATCTTTTCACATAGAGATTTTTTACAGTGTTTCCTCTGAGTTTTCCTCTTTGTTCTTTTATGTGTTTTTCTTTCTGCTGTCTTCTCCTTTCTTTTCGTTGATACCACTGTTATATAGAGGAGGAGGATGAAAAAAAGAGAGGGAAAATGAGTAGAAACTTGGATCAGAACAAACCAAAGCGGTAACTCTGTTCTTTTGCTTTATCAAACACAGTTTGTATTTATTCTAATTTTGTGTAATCTCTGGACTGTTATGATGCAGGTTTTTCTGTTTTGTTTTGGCATCTTACAGTAGGCATTGGAGCAGCAACAGCAGGTTTTGGAGCAGCAACAGCAGGTTTTGGAGCAGCAACAGCAGGTTTTTGGAGTGTTGTACTTCTGGTGAATCGAAACAAAGCATGCAGGAGGCTACAACTTTTGTGAATCAAAGAAAGCATGCAAGAGGACATTGCTTAAACAAAGCTTGCATGAAGAGCCATTATCCAATCGAAGCTTGCATGCAGGAAGCCATAGCTTGGTCGAAGTTTTCATGTAGGAGGTTGTTGCTTCGTGAATCAAAACAAACTTGCAGGAGGCCATTGTTATCTGAATCGAAGCTAGTTGTTTCAAAGGGAAACATTGCCCATTCGAAGCTAGCAGGGAAGAAGGAGTTAAGTTGAAGCTAGCATGAAAGAAGGAGTTCAATCGAAGCTAGCATGAAGGGAACCCCTGCTTTGTGAATAAAAGAAAACCTGTAAGAAGTTGTTTCCTTCTGGATCAAAGCAAGTCAGTAAAAGGTCAATGCTTTATGAATTGGAGCAAAAACAAATGAAGGAAACAATTTCTTAATCGAAGCTTATGGATCAGAGCTTGCTCTAAGGAAGCCAAATGCTCAAACGAAGCCCCTGAATCCAACTTGCTCGAAGGAAGCCAGATGCTCAAATCGAAGCCTCGAAATCCAGCTTGATCGAAGGAAGCCATATGCTCAATCGAAGCCCCTAAATCAAGCTTGCTTGAATGAAGCCAGATGCTCAATCGAAACCTCTAAATCCAGCTTGCTCGAAGGAAGCCAGATGCTCAATCGAAGCCCCTAAGTCCAGCTTGCTCGAAGGAAGCCAGATGCTCAATCGAAGCCCCTAAATCCAGCTTGCTCGAAGGAAGCCAGATGCTCAATCGAAACCTCGAAATCCAGCTTGCTCGAAGGAGGACAGATGCTCAATCGAAACCTCTAAATCGAAGCAAACTTGCTCTTCTTCAATTTTGTCAAAAAAAACAAATTTATCTGCTTTGCTCTTTCAACAGTTTCCTCTTTGACTTGATGCTTGAAAATCCAATATGATCCAATTGTACTTGTGAAAACTTAAACCCTGAGAATCCTTGTGAGAAAGGCCTAATGTCCTGAGCTTTGAACCATCCTCGAGGCAGGCGACAGAAACATCTTCACAGAAGCCAAAAACTCGAAACCCTAGCATCTTGACCAGCACACATAGGGAAATAAACTCTAATCCAGGCTCTGATAAAATTGAGCAAGAACCAACCTTGTAACATGATGACAAAATTCGTTCCACGATCCACTAATTGAGAACCAGATGTGCTTCCTTTATACCTGATAAGAAAACTTCAAAACAAGAGTAGACAAAAAGAAGGTGCAGCCCTAATACTTCAAACCAAAGCGCCTGATCCCATGAGATGTGGGATATGCAAATGACTGAGTAATAAAATGATGCAAATGGAATGCAAAGTTCAAAGCCAGACAAGAATAAAAGAGATAGGGAAAATTTGGGGTACGACACTCCTTATTCTCCTTCTTCATCTCCTTCTCCTTCTTCTTCTCCTTCTCCTTCTCCTTCTTCTTCTCCTTCTCCTTCTTCTTCTTCTGCTTCTCCTTCTTCTCCTTCTTCTCCTTCTCCTTCTTCTTCTTCTCCATATTCGTCTTCTCCTTCTTTTCCTTCTTTTCCTTCTTCTTCTTCTTCCTCTTCTTCTTCTTCTTCCTTCTTTCTTCTTCTTCTTCTTCTTCCTCTTCTTCTTCTTATTCTTCCTCTTCTTCTTCCTTCTTCTTCTTCTTCTTCTTCTTCTTCTCCTTCTTCCTTCTCCTTCTTCCTTCTTCCTTCTCCTTCTTCTTCTTCCTTCTTCTTCTTCCTTCTTCTTCTCCTTCTTCCTTCTTCCTTCTTCCTTCTCCTTCTCCTTCTTCTTCTTCCTTCTCTTCATTCTTCTTCCTTGTTCTCCTTCTTCTTCTTCTTCTTCTTCTTCTCCTTCTTCCTCTTCTTCTTCTTCTCCTTCTTCTTCTCCTTCTTCTCCTCCTCCTCCTTCTTCTTCTTCTTCTTCTTCTCCTTCTCCTTCTTGTCCTTCTTGTCCTTCTTCTTCTCCTTCTTCTCCTTCTCCTTCTCCTTCTTCTCCTTCTCTTTCTTCTGCTTCTCCTTCTTCTTCTTCTCCTTCTTCTCCTTCTTCTTCTTCTCCTTCTTCTTCTTCTTCTTCTTCCTTTTCTTCTTCTTCTTCTTCCTCTTCTTCTTTCTTTCTTCTTCTTCTTGTTTCTTTCTTCTTCTTCCTTCTTCTTTCTTTCTTCTTCTTCCTTCTTTCTTCTTCTTCTTCTTCTTCTTCTTCTTCTTCTTCTTCCTCTTCTTCTTCTTCTTCCTTCTTCTCCTTCTTCTTCTTCTTCTTCTTCTTCTTCTTCTGCTTCTTCTTCCTTCTTCTTCTTCTTCTTCTTCTTCTTCCCCTTCTTCCTTCTTCCTTTTTCCTTCTCCTTCTTCTTCTTCCTTCTTCTTCTCCTTCTTCATTCTTCCTTCTTCCTTCTCCTTATCCTTCTCCTTCTTCTTCTTCCTTCTCCTTCTTCTTCTTCTTCATTCTTCTCCTCCTTCTTCTCCTTCTTCTTCTCATCCTTCTTCACCTCCTTCTTCTCCTTCTTCTTCTTCTCATCCTTCTTCTTCTTCTTCTCCTTCTTCTCCTTCTTCTCCTTCTTCTTTTTCTCCTTCTTCTCCTTCTCCTACTCCTTATTCTCCTTTTTCTTCTCCTTCTTCTTCTCCTTCTTCTCCTTCTTCTTCTTCTCCTTCTTCTCCTTCTTCTCCTTCTCCTTCTTCTTCTTCTTCTTCTTCTTCTTCTTCTTCTTCTTCTTCTTCTTTCTTCTTCTTCTTCTTTCTTCTTCTTCTTCTTCTTCTTCTTCTTCTTCTTCTTCTTCTTCTTCTTCTTCTTCTTCTTCTTCTTCTTCTTCTTCTTCTTCTTCTTCTTCTTCTTCTTCTTCTTCTTCTTCTTCTTCTTCTTCTTCTTCTTCTTCTTCTTCTTCTTCTTCTTCTTCTTCTTCTTCTTCTTCTTCTTATTTTGTTAATTTTAATATTATTATTATTATTATTATTATCATTATTATTATGTTAATTTTAATATTATTATTATTATTATTATCATTATTATTATTATTATTATTATCATGTTATTGTTGTTTTTTGTCCTTTTATGACCAAAAACAAAAGTAGATAAAGAAGAAAATGCAAGTTGTTAGGACAAATTGAAGTTGCATTCACGATTTCTAACAACAAGTCAAATACAAAACCAATTTTAGGCTCAATCCAAACTTTCACTCCAAAATCAATCCTAGCCATCAATTCAATACTATCAATAGCCACAAATGCTACTGTAGAATTTACACAGATCCTGCCATATTCCCTCTCAAATTGAAACTGAGCCTGAACTGGGAGCCCTCTAGAGAAGTTGAATCATTGTTGTTGTTGTTCAGAGCTGAGTGACCAAGTGAGAAAACAGATCAGAGAGGCCGCGGAAGAGTTGAGAGGTCCGAGCGTGAGTTGAGTGAGAAATTAGAGTAAGAGGATTATGAAGTAGCATAGAACCAAAGCGATTGAGTGATGAACATAGAAATTTTGAGAAATAAATTTGGAACAGAGAGAAAGAGGAAGTATCAGAAGAGGGAAATTGAGCGTGAGAATATGAGTAGATAGACAGTTTGAGCGGCTATACCTTATTAGTGATTTGGGATTTTCTTTGTTTTGAATCCAATTGGGCTTAACCCAGTTTTATAGCCCATCAAGCCCATTTTCTCGTTTTTTTCCATCAGTAATGCCATGTTGGGCCTCTTTACAGCTCAAGCCCAGTGAATTACTCTTCCACCCCATAATTCAGCTTCAAAAAAAAGAGAAGGGTGATAAAACATCATTAAATACACAAGTCAATATGGTAAAACATATAAGAGACGGAGACCTCACAAACAAACTTTAAGAAGTGAAGAAGGAAAGTAAAAGAGAAATGGTAAGCAATCAAAGAGGCATGATTTTAAAGCACGTCAAGGTATGACATAAGTTATGGTCCTATCATGTTAAACACCTTATACTACCCTAAACATAGCAACATGGGTCAAGAAGATGAAGAAATTGTCTAACTAGACAACTAAAAGTGCAACTGTGCAATTAGAATACAAAACTTTAACACATGTCAAAAGCAACAATCAAATAAGAGATAAGAGATAGATACCTAAGTCTAACATGCTTTAAGACAATCACAAATTATCACCAAGAGATTACATGTTAACAAACATCCTTTTAAACAAACAAGTAGGCATAGTAGAAAGAGATAAAGTGTAGATAAGTGATAAGATAAGACTTGTATCTTAAGTAAGTGGCAAACCATGGAATCAAGAAGACATAAAGAAGATATGGAGACATCCCTAAGGGTCATGCTTCAAGGGTATATATGTAGGAACCATAAAAGATAACAATTAGTAAAATACACTAGCTAGTGAAGACTTAGGAGCCAAGTGCCTAAAATATCATGTTATAAGGATGTGAGGTGAAGTGAAATGGATGAGTGGGTTTACAAGTCAGAATTTAACACATAAGAAACTCATCATTATCACATGAATACACTTGATAAAAATTCACAACACAAACATACAAAGAAAGGATCACAATCACCCTAAGTGGACATGAGTCCTCATGTAATGCTAACAAGAAAACAAATTAGAAAAGAAGAGGTAATATGAAGAAGAAGAGGTAAACATAGGCATGTTATATACTTAGCACAAACCTCATGGTCAAGAAGAAATTCAATTAGTCATTGAAAACATGGTTCAAACACCATGGTACACAAATTAGCATCAATCAAAGTTGTGATGTAAAGTGGAAACAAGTGTGTGATTAATTGAACATGGCATAATGTGTCAAGTAAGAGTTAAGTCATAAGAAAACACTTAAGGTTAACATACACCATTGACCTATAAACATCCCTAGGTCATCACTACTAAAGCATATACAAAGGTTAGTGTAAGATTTGGTCAAAACCACACCCTAACATACCCCTAAAGGAAAGTGAAGCACAAGAAAGGGATAGATGAAGATGGAACATGATTATAGGGTGTAAAATTACACAGGTCAGTATAAAATGACTTCTAATATCATATATTTAAGCATCACAAGCAAAGAGAATATGGCACACAAGGGAAGTGACCAAAGGGTACAAGCAAGTATGTTCAAATTAAACAAGTAAATATCAAATGATGAAAGTATAATTGAATAATTATGGAATGTATGACTTGTGAAATAAGTTAACTCAAGATGATATTCAAGAGTAACCACGAAGAAGATGAAACTTCATGCACAAACAAAGTCACATAACTTGATGAACAACATCATCTAAAGTGGATGGTACTTATCTTAAATCAAACAATATTGATGAAGACCAAGTAAAGGAAAAATGATACCTTATATGTCATAGACTAATGGTTTATCCCTCATAATATATCAATCATGAACTTAAAACTTTAAGAGATGTTAACAAAATAACATACTCAAAGGTCATGATGAATTGGCAAAGTGTAGTCCATAAATGCACACAAGTATTGTGACCTAAATAGATCAAAGTTAATGTTCTTAAATATTATGGGTAGTATCCAACATAAAGATACATTAATGAGACATATCACAAAAGCTCATGCGGCAATCACTAATTAATGATGCTCAAAACACAAGTAAGAAAGCAAATGTAGCTTCTAATGTGTCACCATGTTTGTTAGCAAATGAGTGCTTAACCAAAAGATCATAGAAGAATGGAGAATTAAGACGAGAATATAGGTTAATATCAAAAATTAAACAAAACTATTAAACACATGGTCCTTTAGAGGTTTCAAAAGCCACCACACACAAACTAGGTCAAAACAAGAATGTGGCTCCTATCTTGTCATCATGATGAATTGACAATGATATGTCAACCAAATAATCAAAGTAGATATGCGTGAAATAACTTAAGACCTTAGAAGTCAGAAGCAAGTTTAAGATATCTCAATTGATTTGGATCCATGTTATTTCAATTGGAAATGTATGAAAACAATCTCCTAAAATATGCTCTCAAAAGATGAGAAAATGAACCTTAAACAAGGAGCAATGTTAGAGTACTTAAATGGTTCATAAATATGAACAAGACTCTTAACATGTGATGGGAATGATATAAAGAAGAAGGAAGTTGGTTCCTTATAGGTTTCCCAAGTGCATACCTTATATCTCAAGCAACAAAACAATTTAACAAAAGAATGATCAAAGTAGATGACTTAAATGGAGTCAAATTTATTCTCAAGTTCTTGAAGAACTATCCTTGAACATGTCACCCTTCATACAAAGTAATTGGATTCAAATGATCCTCAAGATCAAATCAAAATTCACACAATTAGGCACATTAGGGTTTTTAAGAATGGCCAAGTAAAGTCCCCAAGTAAATGATCATCAACAACTACAAACAAAATTAATAAAATTAACCCAAGTTGCTGTGATCTTATAACATCCATGTGATCATTATGTGTCCAAAGATTGGCTTCTAAATAAACTCAAAAGTTACCCAATGCAGTTCAACAATAATCACTAAGACCAAATAAACACATTCACTTCTAAAATGGATCAAAAAATAGAAATAAAATTTATAAATTCAAAACAAATTATTTCTAGTATCCTTAAGGCCTATAAAAGTCAGAAAGAATGATTAAGGTTCTTGGAGAGCTAAGGAAGTATGCAAATGGTCCTTAATTATTAAGACTAGTTGATGAAATCACCAAACTATATATCTTAAGCAAAATATTTTATGGAAAATAGAAAATCAGGGAATAAAAATTATTAAAAATTACTTTAATGATCATAAGACTTCCAGGAACCCTAAAACAGTTTATTATGATTTTTACAAGTGGAGGAATTGGGAGAATAAATCAAGCTTCAAGCGAAAGTAAGTGAAACTAACAAAATAGCACTTATACTTATTAAATTTTAAAGTCAAAGGAGATTAAATGATAAAAATAGTTTAAAAAATCCTAAGATCAACTTAACAAAATAAGAAACTCATAAAATATTTTTGTCAATTTTTTAGGTTAATGGAAAATGTAAAATAAAATTAAAACATTAAACTAATTAAGAAAACACACATTTAATTACATGAATTAATTAATTAACCACGAAAATTATAAAATTAAAATTAAAATTATTTTCATAAAATATGTTTAAGAATAGACTTGACATGTTTTTTTGATAATTTTTGGATGAATAAAAATATTAAAACAAAAATGGAGAAAACAACTGAAATAAAATAAAAAATAAAATATAAACAAATCTGTTACACCTTTCATTTCAAAAATGCATTGCAAAAAGCCTGATCCCTAAACCAATCAAAAAAAATACGCGTGGTCATCCTTGTCCTTAGAACAAACCCTGACACGCATTTTAAACAAGTTCATCCTACCAACTTCAGATCATCACATCTCTTTCATTTCTCCATGAAATTGCATGATGTACACATCAAA